TTGACAATTAAATGAGTACTATAACAGCACAATTAACAAATCTATCCAATGATGTGTTATTGACAGTGGTTACCTTACATACTCGGAGAATTTCTGATATTTCGTATTTTGACCCAGTATGTCTTATAATGAAAGTACAATTCAGTAATAATAGCACCTTAAAACTGGATATTAATTATGCGAGTTAAACAGACGTTTAACTGTATGTTGTATGTCAAATTTCATAGCATCACTGTGTTCTTATGAAGCGTATGATGATGTCTTTCTGAAATACTTTTCAGTGAATACCAAGAATGCATTTTTTGTCTATTTTCGTTTCGTTAAATTTGCTTGACTGTAGAATGCTTATCAAAGTATGCTTACGAGTGTGCATAGTCAGTATTTTTTTTCTCTTCTTTGTTTTCAGATAAAAATTGCCTGAAGTTACCTGTTTTTATCCCATCAAGTGTTGTTCCAAAGCAAGAAACTAAAAGTAGGTATCCACTGATTTGCAGAGTATCAATGAAATGAACTACAAACCCCATAAGCTACAGTTTTGTTCACACTGGTTAGGCTTCATCTCTAGGTGTTTATTAAAGTTCACTGATCCCCTTTGATGCATATATATTTTCCTACTTAATGGCATTACAAGAAAATTTTGGTAATTCTGTTTTACACAATTAGTCCTAGTTGTCACTAAAGCAAAAAAAAAAATTAAAATTTGGTGTATTAGAGATATCGATTCCATATTATTTTGTTTATTAGATATATCACACAGCGAAACAGTATTATTTACTGGATGACAAAGTTTCGAACACAATTTATTGTTCATAATCATATCAATTATAATCACACAACTTCGAAACTTGAGTTTTATGGTCTTCTTTGTTCTCTCCTATTTGTCATAGGGGTAGTGGAATTTTCCACATATCTAGGACAGGTGTTGAATCATTCCTATTGCATGTGTTTGCAGTTGATTCAATAAACAAAGCTTCCGTTATCAAACTCTCGCTCCATCCTGTTACATTGGATTTTAAAACTGTCATCTTATCCCATCCTATTGCATGGTTGTGTGTAATTGCATGTATTGCTATAGTTGAACTATTTTCCAGAATTTTATCTCATTAAGGTCAGTTAATCTAGATTTTGGTAGGTTTGTGTGCTCCGCTAGTCTGACTGACTGACTGACCTCATTCTACAGCTTTGACCTTTGTATTTGACCTGATAATTATTCAAGCAGGGTATTAGATAAACTAAATTGTTTTGTTTAATTGACTCTACAGGATCCCTTAACCAACAAAGCTTATTTCTAATTGAGTTTGTGGGTTTGAATGCCGGCTACTTTTATTCCTGCATTGTTAAGAATTCTCCGTAGGGCTCTCAAGGTTCCTTCTTTGTATGGAAGTACTGCTGATGATCTATATTCCCTATTATTGGTGTTGTCATTATCCTGTGCATGTTTAACGTGCATGTCGTCATTAATATTATTATTATTATTATCATCATTACTATCACTACTATTACTATCTATTTTATTTTTACATTTTCTTACATATTTCCTGATTAATTTATCAGGGTAATTATTCAGTTTCAAACGTCATCCAGTAAATAATACTCTTTCACTTTGTAATATATCTAATAAATAAATAAATATGGAATTACATACTACCACAGCGCCAAAGTTTCACACCTGCATTAATAAGAGATATCGATATGTGCATCAGATAAAATAGAACTTCATTGAGAAAATCTGTCACAGGACTAGAACTAATAATGATTAAAACGGGGAAAACTCACTCAAATTTGAATCACTCGGTTGTGATAAAGAATATCTGTGGCCTTTTGGCACTCATCGTCAACGAATATGTTTCACAGTTTAGAGCGACTGAACTGGTTTGCAATGCATACTATCTAATAGTTATTTTTCACTGTCCCATCGGTGACGTAGGTGGAAGGTGACTTTTTGTATTCATACGAAGACTTTGCGAACAACTGACGCCATTAATGCTCATTTACATTTCTAACATATTCAGTCAATTGTTTTCCCCAGTTGTTAAGCCAGATACCGTGTCACATCAATCCTTCACACTCTTTTTGATTCAAGACTAAAAAACCATGTACTCTGCTAACGTTTTTTTTGTCTAAAAGGATTACGCTGAGTGCCGATGAGAATTTAACCCATATAACAAGACTACCAGCATTGTAGGTCAGCACAAGTCTTCTTTTCGTTGTAGTCATTAGTATTTGAAAAAGTCATTACGTTTGCCTAAATAGGGTATTTACTGTTGAAATTTGATCATTGATGCAACACCTAGTGTTTATTGCCGACAGGGCATCCGACTGCCACTTAGTAAAAGGCAAGTTTACTACACGTCACTTAATCCTCTCCCATAAAGGGTAAACGGTTTGGTTACAGATTTTTGTTCGTAGATATCACCACAGCATTGCTATTATATGGGTGGGGGGAAACTGAATAGTGGAAAATATTGATATTACAGTAAAATAAGGGGACGAAGTTGTGGACTTACTTTGATGTAAAATATAGGCAGCACATAAATAAATCAGCTTTTGTCTTAATAAACTTTACGACGGAGTTTATTCAGTACTGTTGGAGTAGAATGTAAGGATGACTTCATCAAATGAGTCTACCAATCTGATTATGCTCTATTAGTTGTTTTAGGAGTAATCTAAATTCTACTACAAGTGTACAAATATATTCATTCTTATGCATTTTGAGAATTTTGAATATTTTCACTATTCGCGCTCTCCGTATTTACATCTTACTTTGCCAATGTATTCTCAACTGTTTTCTCTCATGATATTGTGAAATGCGACTACTTTAAACCTATGCTCTTCTTGGCCAAATGTCATAATGATATCAGTTGGCTAATCAAATCAACGTTTTCTCCATTTTTCCTTGCAACCTGAGATATAGTCAGTTAATATAGATATATCAAGAAAACGACGATTTTTGAGATAGACTATGACGGAATTCATTAGTGGTTTCTAAATTGTTCTTTGAAACTTGTTTTTAATTATTCAGATTTAAAGGATCTGTGCTTATATCCTAATAAAATAGCAAACAAACTAGCACTTAAACACGTTAAATAAGTCTGTTGGTGTAAACAATTGCGTTTCTATTGTATTACAGATTTCATGTTAGATGATTACATAATAACTGATTAAAAATGCCCATTAAAATTTTCAAAAGAATAGACTTGGAACAAAGAGAACTCTTTTCGATAAATTCATCATCAGACTCTACAATTATGTATACATTATAATGAATGAATGAATGAATTAGTCTTATGAACGACATTAATGTTTAAATAACATCAAATCAATAATATTGATCGATTACAGCTGAACAGCATCAACATAAAATAAGCTGAATGTCAGAAGAATTATGAGTTTATAGTTTCTACTGAGGGCCAGGGCAGTAGTAGGGGCTGGACTTGTTTCTTTTGAACACAGAGCAGTTGTTGTTTGAGGCGAATTGCAATAGCCTCTGCTGTTTGGAGCATGTGGTGCTTCGACGATTTTGGTAATTTGTTAGGTACCCGGTATATTATAGAGAAGGATTCTTCTACGCTGGCTTTGTGACCGGTTTGCACCAGATGGTCTAATATCGAGCTGTTAATAGTTTTAACTACACCTTTACTTCGCAATAGTGGGAGATGTTCTCGAGCACGAAAAATCAAGTTCCTAGAGCAACGGTCAATATAACTCGCTCCACAAGCGCAGTTGAATTGATCGATACAATTTGAAGTGGCTAATCTAGGTACTTCATCTTTCAGTCGAGGTAGCACCGTCGGTCGTGTAGAGAATAATACGTGTAGTTCGCCAGCATTAAAAGTTCTTTGAACTGATTTTCTTAATTTCTTCGTAATTATCTCACTTGGTATATCGACCTTGAATTGTAGTCTTGTATAAAGTGGTTTCTTCTTTACAGATGGTGAGTAGTGCTTTTCCGCTTTCTTTGCCATGTGTTTCTTGATAAATTTTTCGGAATAGCCATTTTCGATCAAAGTATCATATACAATGCTTAATGCATCTTCAGTTACCTCTTCAGAGCATATAGCTGTAACTCTGTGGCTGAGGGTCTTCACTAAATTTCTACATACATAATAACTTGTATCATCTAAATTTATTCAGATGAAGCGTGCTAGTAGGCATTATCTATACGATATCATATCACTATTATGTAATCCAAAGACTAGCGTAACTCCACTGATTTTTAAATGTGCCATCTCTAGAGTATTACAAGGTGTGCTCATTTTTTACAAAAATATATACCTGGCCAGTAAGTATTGATATGAATATTCAAAAGGAGAATGAATATACGTAATCTAAATGCCTTATAAATTATTATTATTATTAGTAGTAGTATTCAAGTTAATTTCGATATGTCAACGAAGAAATACATAGATTTTAAATCCTCATAATGTTTTCTTTTATTACTTGTTTATTTCAATGATCGATGTTTTTCACCTGTACAGAGTACAATTGTGAAAAGATATACTAGATGTCAGTTTTTGTTGTTGTTGATATCTCTTGAAAATATCGAATCCTATCGTTCAGACATTTTGTTCATTTTACGGTTGTTGTTTGTTTTTTATTTTAGCTGAAGATGATACACTGTATACCGAAGACATTGATGATGAAGAAATAGACCGAGTGAGTATTTTTCAGTGCATAATTTTCTTTTCTTTGTTCACTTCTTCAGCTTACATATGGTATCTTATATATTCAATACAAATCAGTATCTGTCAATCACTACTGATGACTGAAGTAATTTATCCGAGAATCTAATCCAGCCAGCATTTTAAATTGTCACACTGTTCCTTTGATATCATTTTTATCATTCTTTGCGTTCTGAGTGAAATGTAGGACTTGAAGCATTAAATTTTCAGTTGTAGGGGTGTTATTTTTACGGAGTGTGGTTGCCGACCTCATGCCCAATCCTCTGTCTTCTCTAGGTTGATTACCGATTAGTAAGCTAGGCAAATTTTAGGAGTGCGTCAGCCGGGAGTTGACCCCGGACCTCCTTCATGAAACCGGTGAACATTGCAACACCGCCATATATATATATATATTTGATTGCACACTAGTCAGTAACTAGTGTAATGCGTCTAGTCCTATCTTCGGTGCAGACTGAATTCTATCAGTCATGTTTGCAATGTGGCCACCATGCTAGGTGGCTCGCCATATATATATATATATATATATATATATATATATATGAATATATGGTTTAACATCTCAACTGTTTCAGAAGGATTAACCAGCGATTTGTGTGATTGAAATACATAGAAATTTCTTTATTTTTTGTTGATATTTTCTATTCCAGGAGTATTTACTTCAACCCAGAGAAATCATGCTGAAAGCAGCTATATGGTTCAAAGCCAATGCAGAACACTTGGAACAAGCACGAAGTAAGTTTAAAAAGGCGTTATTTCAGCTTATTCCAATTTTTACGAGTTGATCACGGATTGATATCAGTTAGAGAACCATTGAAAACCAGCACTGGAGTACTGAACAGTCAGCTGTTTCATCCTAGTTTGGGAGTCATCAGCAGTACGCACCCACTGGGGTTCGAACCCACGACCTTCCGGTTACAACGCAAGCTCGTATACCATTCAGCCACGGGGACCCAATTCACTGGCAAGCCCATGAGTTCTAACTTCTATCAATTCGTGATTTAGTGAGACCCCAACCAATGTCATCAGTGGGACATCCATCCTCACACGTGACTGGATGGACCTCACTGGTCACGACTTATCTCTAGAACTCAATTATATCTCGACGTTAGCAAAGTCTTTGATAAAGTCCCACATATTAGACTCCTAACAAAACTACAATCCTACGGAATAACTGGGAAGCTTCTCGAACGGATAAATTCTTTCCTCACAGATAGAGAGCAGTTATTCCAATTGTTACTGAAAGCTGGTATACAGATAAATTGTATGATTAGTAAAACTGAAGAAAAAAAAGTAATGTCCACCTTGATTGGCGTTCTCATAGCTGAATAGCGGATGTGTTATTCTACTTTTTTTGTGTTAGTCTAATCGTTTGATCACCTCGTATAATCTGTTTTGCGTGCGTGCTTTTCGACTCATCCGATAAAATTAAGGGAATTATCGTGGTAAATTACGACAGTTGATAAAAATGTGGCAATATAATTTATTTAGATTATTTCAAAGATTTTAGAGATTCGTATAGTATCACAGAACATTTTGTTGGCGAGGGATGTAGTTTCTCTCATAGATTTTCACAGGTTATGTTACGACCAAACTGACTTGTTGTGGTTTGAACTCAGAAAATCGGTATCTGCATTCTTCTTCTGTATAGCTGACGAAATTTCCTTGAGAGACTTACAGTCGCAAAACGCTCCAAAGACAGTGAAAAGACGGTTATTCGTTGCTGGAATCTGTGGTTCTATTCAACATTAACCCCAAAAACATACTTTCTTCAGCAGTGCTGTTAGGCAGCTATGCAGACATTAGTATTTTCTATGTATCAAACAAGTACTTAGGATCAAGTAGATTATTCCCAACAAGGTGGGATCAAAAACTGTCCACAAGAATTACAATTTAAACGCTTCCCTCAGACAGTCCAAGGTCAGAGTGACCTTGATTAGCACAAACAAAATCACATCGTAAAACGACACATTATCAATGTATCACATGGCCGAAAAGGGACACACTTAAATTAGAAACTGAACAGGGACAAATACAAATAACAAGGATCAAGTCGGCGTATGATATGCAACTGTTAGAGTAATGATGTACAGTACGAGAAAAACGGTTAATAATTAAAAAGTTAGCTGAAGCATGCAAATAAGTATAAACATTGTGATTAGATCTTTCAGGGGGGGGGGTTCAAACAATGATTACGTTACAGATAGGACTCAGTTTATTTGTTTTTCAATTTTTCTAGTGATATTTATGATAATTGTGGTGTGAAGACTCACCGCTGCATTTGAGTACGGGTTTATTCAAAATTCAAAGATTTGTTTTTGGCTAAAATTTCTCTAAGGTGCCAAGTTTCGTTGGTAATTTTGGGGAGCTTCACTCACCATACTGGGTGGTTTGTTTCCAGTAGTCTGTATGCGCTTTCATTCTCCTCCTAGATTTGCCAATCTAAACTTTGTCTTAGTCAGTTACCTCAGAATATTCCAAATTAATGGATCGGCTTCATTATTAAACTTCTTAAATTAAACGTATTTCGCAATATTATTTCTTAATATTTTCTTATGACTGTCCCCAAATAAAAAGTATCAGTAAATCTGTGGATTACTATAAACGCACCTAACAGCGTAAGCATATGATTCTTCGTGAGTAGAATAATCTACAGCATATCTCATCAGAAGTTAATTATTTCTCATGATATATTTCATCAACAAAGTCACCTCAAAAAATATCAGGGTTTGAGAGCAAAATGTAAGTGAAAGCTCTGTAAAAAGGTTCACTGCGCAAATGAATCCAACTTGATAGTCCCATGCACACTGTCTGCCCCCCAACTAGACCAAGAGACTGAGTCCGTATTTAAGGAAGAAATAGCTAACCCAGTGTCTGAAATCGACAGCAAAACTCTTCCTGAGGAAGCCTGGCACAACATACAGTTAGCTGTAGACACATCTGTAAAGGCTGTTCATAACATAAAACCAAAAGTTAGTAAGAGCTAGTGAATTTGTACCACTTCATCTGAACTGATTAACGCAAGAAGACTGATTCTAGCGAGCTCCAGATATGATGAGGAACGGAAACTGCTCGAACGCAAACTAACAAGAAGTCTTGGTAACGACTGTAAACAGTGGTGGGCGACAAAAGCGAAGGAGATGGAAAAGTCATCGGTGGTAGGTAACACCAGACAACTATTTAAACTTTAATTGAATTTTTAGATTTTCCCGTCGATTGATTGGATCGAAGTGCTCGGTCTCAGGATGACATGTCGGCTTCTTGTGCAGATGCTTCGACAATGTCTGGGCATTTAGTTAGAATTTAATTTGTGGATGTGACTAGCAGTGGAATCCAGTATGCGCGTTTCGTCCTATTTGGGACTCATCACTGGATGTACCTGCATTCGATTAAATTAAATGACCCGTTGCACAAGAGGCGGCTCTCGTAGCCCAAGTGGTCTAGTGGAGAACGCTTTGACGTTTGAAACCATGGGCACTGCATTCGAGCCTCGGTGGGAGCATCATCACTCACTGGAAAATGCAGGTACATCCAGATGACGAGTCCCAAATAGAACGAAATGCACATCCTGGATTCCACTGCTAGTCACATCCACAAATTAAACTATTTGGACTTACCACAAAAACAGGTGGTAAAAAGCAAATGATAAGCGAAACAATCTCCGAGAAAAATCGCACAATGATCAGTTCGCAGGATAGACGATTAGAATGTTGGAAAAAACATTTTTAGGAACAATTTAATTGGCCTACAGTCACGATCAACTTACCCAGCATCCAACACCTCCGTAAATGGGATATAGGCACAGGTCCTCCGTCCCTGACTGAGGTTACTAAGGCTGTCACTAGTCTAGAACGAGGCAAAGCAACAGGACCTGATGGAATGACTGTAGAGGTGTTCAAGGACTGTGGAGACGATTTACTCTCTGCGTCAACCAAGGTATTAGGCGGCTTCTGGGAATCAGAGATAGTCCTGTCGAGGTGGTGTAAGTCATTGATTATCCCGATATACAAGAAGGGAGACAAGTCTTCCTGTGATAATCACGGGGGGGATTAGCTTGATCAATGATGAATTTATTTGATAAAATCACACTGACACAGTGTTATCTGTTGATGACGTTTCGAGCACAATTTATTGCTCACAATCATATCAGGGAAGTCATATAACTGTTGGTATTAGATGGTTGGAGGCAGTCGGCAGGAAGCCTTGGACCTAGGTTTCGTGCTAGTTGGCACTCATCAGCAAGGCGTATCTGCAACCTTGAAGGAACTGATGTCCCTTCTGAGATTCGAACCCGCGTCACCCAGTGCTGCAGTCAGAGACGTTACTACTGAGCTATTCAGGCTCGCGACTGACCTCCTGTAGGACTGTCATATAACTTTCAAACTTCGTTCATGTAATTCCTTTATTTCTTATCGTTCGATTTAATTGGTGGTGACATTTTCCATATCTTTGATATTGGGGACGAGTTATCCCAATGGAATGTTTCTGGTGTAGAATTGATGAACAAAGATTAAGTAATCAACCTTTCACTCTCTCTAAAAAGTAATATAGGTAGGTGCTTGCTTTGCTTTACTTCGGTTATCTCCTACGAGAGGATGAGCCGGCTTCATGAACATCTCGAATCATCGCTGCCCAGGCGCGGCGATCTGATGCAAGGTTTTGCGACAGGGTTATTCAATTCTTCTTCCACAGACGGAGTCCGTAGACGGTTTGTAGCCCCAGGCACTCCATATCAGCCTTGACTGTACCAAGCCATGTTTTCAGCTGTCCACCCCTGCGACATCGCCAAGATGGTAATGGCGAGGGATTTAGAACTGATTTGAGCAGATCGTCATCTGGTCGGCGCAGAACATGGCCAAACCACCGAAGGCGACGTTGTTGGACCAGTACTGGAATTTGGTTGGTGTTGTAGCAACGACGACGCACTTCTTCGTTGGAGAGTTTGTCCTGCCAACGAACATGCAGAATGTACCTGAGGCACCAGTGGTCTACTACCTCGAGTCTGCGTACATCTTCCGCGCGAAGAGGCCAGGTTTCACAGCCATACAGGAGAACGGATCGTATGGAGGCTTGGTAAACCCGAATTTTAGTCCTGAGACTGATTTCCCTCTTGCTCCATAGAACGCTTCTCAGCTGAAGAAACGCATTCCGGGAGTTGGAGATTCGCGCATTCACTTCGTTTTTCGCTTGACCGTTGGGAAGCATTATGGATCCCAGATATCTGAAGGATGGCACAATTTCAATAGGTGCTCCATTCAGGTATAAGATTTCATCATTGCTGGTGGATGTGTTCGAAAACACTTTGGTTTTGGAAGTGTTAATTTCCAAGCCGATAGTAGACGCGAGGTGGTTTATCTGATCGAGCGCCTGTTGCATATCAGGGAAGTTTTCAGCTAGTAACACGACGTCGTCGGCGAATTCGAGGTCGGTTATGTAAATATCGGGCGAAAGTTGGACGCCGTGGTGCTCGGTTAGGGCGTGCCGCAAAATCCAATCAATTGTGAAATTGAACAGGATGGGGGATACTGGACAACCTTGCCGGACACCGCTGGTTACCTCAAAAGTGCGAGACTCTTCACCGTTCAAAAAAACTCGAGCTTTGGTGTTGGAGTAGTATGACCTGAGCAGGTTGAATAGCTTGGTCGGAACTCCTTCGAGCTCCATTAGATACCAGAGTGCTCCTCGATCAACTGAGTCGAATGCAGCTCGGAAGTCGATGAAACAAGCAACCGTCGGCTGTTGATATTTGTCCCTGTGTTCCAAAATTCTTCGCAGTGTGAATAATTGATCAATACAGCCTCTTCCAGGTCGAAATCCGGCTTGATTTGGCCTTGTTCGCACGTGGTGTTCGGCAGCGAAGCGGTTCAGGAGAATGGAAACAAAAACCTTAGCAGCGATATCAATCAGACTTATGCCTCGGTAGTTCTCACATATTGACCTGTCTCCCTTTTTGTGGAACGGTAGCAAAACTGAGGTGCTCCAATCGGAAGGAATGGTTTCGGAATCCCAAATTGAGCAGAACAGCGAGTGCAGCGAATCGATTAGCGCTGGAGTGCAGGCCTTGTATATTTCTGGAGGTAGACCATCTTCGCCCGGAGCTTTTTTGTTTCTGAGTCTGTTAATTGTTTTAGCTATTTCGGTTGGAGTGGGTGGATGGCAGTCAACTACGTAGGGTGTTGGTAAGTATCGTATCGGTCGATGAGGCGGTTGACCAGCGTTGCGATTGAGTAGCTGCTTGAAATGTTCGGCCCATCGTTCCATCTTACCATTGGTGTCCGAAATAATTTCTCCTGATGCTGTGCGTAACACAGCATGGCTGTTAAGGCGTTTGCCAGATGATAGGCGTATGAGGCGATAAAGTTTTCCGAAATCGCCTACATTTGATGCTGCTTCCATGTTAGTCGCCACATTAGACCAATAGCGATTTCTATCATTCCTAGCAGACTGTGTAGCTTTGCGCCTGAGGGAGCGATAAACTGGAGACTTTGCTAGGCGAGCGTCTCTGGTTTGCGAGGATAGATGCATAGTGTGCTCTGAAATCCAGTCTTTCTCTTTGTTGGATGTTTTACCCAAATGCGACATTGAAGCTTTAGAGACTACTTCTTTGAAATGATTCCATCGTGTCTCAGGTGTATTAGAAGATGTGGATGTTGGCTCATCTGCGGCGCTTAGTTCGGCCTGGATTTGTTTGGACAAGGCTTGTCGCTTTATCGAACATTGAAGCAGGGCAACATTGATACGCTTCGGAGGTCGCACCTTCTGGCGTGTTGTTAAACGAAGTTTGAATTTCGCCCTAACTAGAGTATGGTCTGATCCCCCTTTATTTCCGTCCTCTGCGCCACGATAGGATCGGCAGTCCTCCACCGAGGAGATCCAGCGTGAGCGCACTAGGATGTAGTCAATCTGATGTGCAGTGCGACCGTCGTTCGAATACCAGGTGAGAAGATGTTTTCTAGGGTGTTGAAATCGAGTGTTGGTGACAAATAATCGATTGTAATCAGAAAAAGCTAAAAGTCTATCACCATTACGGCATTGCTGATCGAGACCGTGTTTGCCTAGTATATGTTTTGTCGCGTCGTCTGAAGGGCCAGTGCGGGCGTTCCAATCGCCGGCTACTATGAGAACGTCACGCTTTGGGATTTTGTTGATTGCCTCTTGAAGATTGTCATAAAATTCGTCTTTGATACTTTCATCAGAGTCGAGGGTTGGGGCATAGACAGCGAGAACAGAAATGTCGAGCGGGGAACCCTTGGACCTAGCGATTGCAACTCTGGAGTTGACCGGTTCGAACGATATTAGGGCATTATTGGCTTTGTTACTGAGAGCAAATGCTACCCCATGTTGTCCCGAATTATTCTGGGGTCCACTATGAAGCAACCAGAATGAAGAATCTGTTCCAGGTACGGCTATTCGGCGGGAGCCATGATCGGGCAACCTCACTTCAGATAGACACGCTATGTCCACCTTGTAGTCGTATAAAGAACGCATAGTGATAGACTGGCTACCAGGATCCAACAGCGTCCTAACATTCCAGCAGCCAACAAATAGTTGGTTTCTAAGTGTTAATTTCCCAGCTGGCTTACTTTTCACACTGGCCACCGGGTGAGCACAGGGCGCGTCGCTTACCGGGAACGCCGTAGCATGGTGAGAGTCGTTTGTAAGAGAGTTCATGAAGTTTCATGGGAATTTGGTACGAGTGAAGTCCCCAGAATCGCTCGGCCTTTTGTTCGAGAGTGCAGCTCTAGCCTTTACACAACCAAGTGTGACCTACAAGGCAGTAGGAGTGGAGTAGGGAGTCCACTATCCATTGGCAGCCGGTGACCGGAGTTCGGTTCATACGCCTTTTTGAATGGGGGCCAGATATCCAGGGCATCCAACACGCCCTTTGTCCATACGTCTGCCGGTGAGCTCCAGTGGGCTTCATACGCCAGTCGTTGGAGGTTTGGAATCAGGGTTTAGCCACCTCCCCTAGACTGTCATCTAATGGACAGTCAACCCGGTGAAGAGCGCCGGGCATCCGCTTTCGCCCTCTCACTTTGGTGAGAAACACCTCCACCACATGAAGGCAGTGAGTAGGACTTCCTCAGGAGAGGCTATGTAAGACGCCCGGTCATATGGGAGCATTTCAAGAGGTGTGCGGAGGGGTGGCCAACCCGCAGCGCAAGGCACCCACCCCCGACCATCCTGAGGCTTTGGAGGCAGGTGGGGATAGAGATTGGTTAGTGAATCTTTGTTCATTGAATTTACACCTAACACATTCAATAAATTTACTCTGTAGCGGCACTAATTTCACTTGTAAAGAAATACGATGTCTCATACAAAGGTCATCAGAATCAATCCAACGATATACACAGACAAATTATCAATAAATGAAAAACAATGGAAGATTGTCGATCTCCAATCGTACATAATTCTGTTCGTATGTGTCTACAACTGGATGAAAATAGAAAGGGTCGAAAATATGTAGTCCTTTATTGTTATAATATTTGCAACATCTGTTGTTGTTATTTTATCATCCTTAGAATATCTAAAGGCTGGGATTTTTTAGAATGAACACACGTATTTCATATACCATTTTATAACTGTTTTATTTATTTCCGTTTAGAACGTAAATTAGCCAAAAGACAAAAAGAACAGCAACAACAACAGGAAGATATTAAAGGTCCTAAAAAGGTTTGTTTATTTATTCTAATAAATCATTTTGTGTCATTTTAAATTGTATATTACTAACATGTTATCATTCAATCAGAGTTATCGAAGACACTTACTATGCCTGTTGGATAAATCACTCGAGAACATCCTACTCACAGTGAACCTATTTAACTGTACTGTATGAAATTTGAAATTCTGCTAAGACAAAACCTGATTTTTTCAGTAAGTGAGTGATGAACTTGTCAGTGATTTTAGCTTGTGAGATTTTCGTTATGCGAAGACTAATTTCACTGCCTAGTGACTTAAGAAACCTTTAAATTAGCTTGGTGACAAAATCTCACAGCTCAACTTTTGCTTCATTAGAGCAGTAACAGTCGAGTTTGTTAAACCAGATGTTGACATTACTCCATAAATTCCTTTGTTTTCTTTGCATGAAGGATTTTCATCATGAGCTGACGTCAGTTAGAGAACCACTGGAAAATCAACTGGGAGTACTGGACAGCTGTTTCGTCCTAGTTTGGGACTCTTCATCAGCACGCACCCACCGGGGTTCGAACCCAAGACCTGGTTACAAGGCGAGCTCGTAGAACATTGAGCCACTGGGTTTTCCAGTGGTTCTCTAACTGATGTCAGCTCACGATGAAATCCTCCTTGCAATCAAACAAAATCCCTACAAAACCAATATCCTTTGTTTTCATTCAATTTGCAGGGTATGTATTTTACCTATACGCTACTTCTTTACTTACTGAGATTAGGATCCACCTACACTTAGTACTGACATGGGTGGAAAGAATATGAGTTCGCTTTCGATTGTAAATATACTTTACTGACAAATGCTAGGAAGCTATCCGGGATAGATTTTTCATGTGTCGGGCTATGACCCACCCACCTGGGTTGATGATACTACCCAGTTGCCTAGGATGAAGTAGGTGGAGTGGGATTTGAACCTCGGACCCACCAACTGAAATTTGAGTGCTTAATCCAGTGAGTTACATTTTTGTGCCAGCTGGCACGAAACCTAGATGCACACTTGGTTGCCTGTCGAATGACTCCTCCTAACATTGTAACTCTTTATATGCTCGGTTGTAATAAACACTCAGGTTTGCCTGTGATATTCGATCCATCTAATTTCTTTTTACCTAACACTTAACTCTAGTTATACAATTCATTTTTTATTCTCTCGTTTATTTTTTTTTTTGTGTGTCATGGTGATAATTGCCGACATATGCGTATTAATTCGCTCCAAAAACGATTTGTAAGATAGATGAATACCTGTCTGTCGACATTTGTTATCTGATGCCTTTAAATTAAATAGGATACGTAATTGTTGAATATTTGAGCTATTTTCTTATTTTACTTAAGTAATCTCGTGATTGTTGTGATTTAATCTATCTACCATACAGACTTATTTAAAAGTATATCAGTTCATCACTTCGGTTTTAGACATTGGAAGATTGTATGTATTAGTTGGTTATGAGTAACAATATTTTAATCACGTATTGATATCAGTTAAAGAACTATCGGAAACCAGAGAATACTGGACAGGTGTTTCGTCCTAGGTTGGGATTTTTCAGCAGCATGCACTCATGACTCTACCGGGTATGGAACCAAAGAACTTCAGGTTGTGAGGTGAGCTCGTTTACCCTTCACCCACTGGTATAGATTCCAATGACTCATGAATTCTAACTCCTGTTTGTTCGTGGGAGACCTCCAGTGAGATTATAGGTGTTCCGAACTAGAACGCAACAACTGTCCAGTACTCCCTGGTTTTCAGTAGTTCCCTAACTGATATCAATCTTCGATCAAACTTAAAACGTATCAAATCCCCGACAAACTAACAGTTTAAATTTTTTAAAAACATTTCTTAAAAATTTGGTTAACCTAAAAATAATGTCAGTTTGGTTTGTTGATATACTGAGATGAAAAATTGTAAAAATTTGTAAGATCCTAAAATTTTAATATACCGTAGATGAGTGATGTAGACAGTTAACCAATTGGTTCATACACTTAGGTCGTATTCAAACAGCTTCATCTGTATATACAACGTTTGGCTAATAGAATTTATATATTATATGGTTAATCAAGTTAAATTTCTTGAAAATCACTGATTAACTATACTCTATATTTAAATCAGCATTGAGACGGGAAATAACCTTTTAACTTTCCTTTATTTTTCAAAAAATTCTTTTATATTCGCTTACTTTGTTTGTTTTTAAAATAGCGTAAAACGGCTAGTCGACGTAATAATTATTCTTCATCAACAAGATCAAATCGTAATGCAATTTCAAAAGAAGAAGACAGTAAACCAATATCTCGTAAAATTAACTATGAAGCACTTGAAGCAGTTGTTGGTCTATCTGCTGCACCAGCTTCATCCTCCCAATTAGACCAGCATATTGTACCGGCGACTGATGTAGATAATAGTGAACCAAGACCTGGTCCATTGCTTGCATCCACTTTGTGTGATAATGAAAATTCTAAAGAATTATTCAAATCACCTAAGCAAATTTTAGAGGCCAATAATCAGAAATCACGTTCAAAAGCATCTGTATGTAACGGTGAACAGTTAAATAAAGCCTATGGTGGACAAGATGATAACAACATTGCTGTTGATAATGATAATGCTGAGGAGGAGGAGGAGGAAGAAGAAGCAGTTGAAGACGACGAAGAAAATAATGTTGGCAATAATGATCCATATAATCAATATTTGCCTAACTACAGTCATGGAATCGATGATGATGACGACGATGAAGACTGGTCGACTGGTGCTGAATTATGGTGATTACCAGTGAATTGTAAATATTGTAAATATTTTATCAGTGAAATTCAATTATCCATAATGTATATAGATGTATAATATCTTCTTCTTCTACTACTCTATATTTATGTGACCAAATGCATTTAATTTCAATTGTTTATTCATTTATGAACAGTTTATGAATTGAAAAAAAAAAACTCTATTCACTATTCAACGATTAATTTTTCTGTGTATTTGAGTAACAGAGTAAGTGGCGAGTTCCTGCTCTCCTACCTGTTAAATTTTTATACCCAATAGATTTTTTTATAATTGTATTTTTTTCTCTCGTCTCTTTGTTCACATTTAAGATTTTAAAAGTATTTTATTTGTTTTGTAATTTTCTTTTACTTGTTGATTTGTTATTATTTAATGAAATTGTATTTTACTTTTGTGATTATTACATAACTGCGTGTATGTGATTTTTTAAAGAAGGGAATTTTATTTCATTTAAATAAATATCATATAGTAGAAACGAATGAATTTTTTGGGTAGGGAATTATGCAATACAATAACATGTGTCGTCAACACTTGAATTCAATAAGGCAACTGGAAGAGCCTCACATAGAGATCATCAGTTCAAAGGTGATATTATATTTTTGATTTTGATTTTTGATTATAGCTTGAAACCACACAGTATTTTTGGTACAAGTATGGAATTTTCAGCATTTGATATCGGTAGCCCAAATTTTGCAGGCCGACCATAGATATCAGGTGTGCGTCGGCAGGGGATCGAACCCCGGACCATGTGCATGGTCGGCGAGAGTCCTAACCGCTGTGCTACCGACGCACAGGTTGAATTGTTTTTCGTAAACCAGAATCCATGAACATGAACAAGTTTATTCGGTATAACACAGTAATAATAACTAGATGATGTTTCGAGCACAATTTATCACTCATAATCATATCAATGTGATTATGAACAATAAATGTTGCGTGAATCGTCATCCATTTATTGAAACTGTATTATTTTGATATAGCAAATAAATCATCTAACATAAACTTCAATCTACAAAATCCCTGACTTTCTGTTAATTAAAGAAAATCCGTGATTGATGGTCTAGTGTGCATTTGTACATGCACTATCTATAGGAGTTCTTACTGTTTGCTTTAGAGTGATATTACATACATCTCGCGTCATTTTGACCTTTTCTGTAAAATAATCGACAAGACTTACTAATACAAAATATATGGTGGGTATGTCGTGTAGTAATGATTATTTCAAGTTCGACCACGGATTGATATCAGTTAGAGAACCATTGCGAACCAGGTACTTTTGGGCAGTTGCTTCATCCTAGTTTCGGACTTATCGTCAGTGTGTGCCCATTGTTATTTTCGTATCCAGGACCTTCTGGTTACAAGGCAAGCTCGTAGACCACTCAGCCACCGGGACTCGACTCGGTTTCCCATGAATTCTAACTTGTACCAGTTTGTGATTTAAGTGCGACCACCCGCCAGTTATGCTTATAATCATATTAAGGCATGATATGAGCTTGACATGATTACGAGCAATAAATTGTGCTCAAAACATTATCAGTAAATAATGTTGAACACTGTGCAATTTTTTCAGATACATTTACTCTATGATAGAATTAAACTCCACAATGCCTGAGTTCTATTCTTATATCTAGTCCACGTTCTCTTATTTGCTGATGAGCCATAAATGAAAACGAAGACTGCCTAAACCCTGTTTGTTGCCTTGCATTGTTCATGAATGATTACCACTTGAAAATGCGAATGTTAGTTTCACACGTGTTTTGGTGCTATTTTGTAATATATGACGTTGATTAAGACATCAGTTGCTTTTGTATTACATTTTAACAAGCATAAATATTTTTAAACCAAATAAATATGATGCATTTATGATGTCTTGGTTATTCCAGTTAGGTAATTGACACTATACCCAATAGTCTGGATTTCTAAGTGGCTTCTGTCTATTGAGGTCATAATAATAATCTTTAATTTTAGACAAAGGCGTCAGGTTTGCCTCTTCATTTCTCTTTAGCTTAATGATTTATGAAATAGTTTTACCTCATAATTATTCAAAATGATTAATAACAGAGATGTACAAAATGTGGAAAGTTAGGAGATAATGGTGTATACTAGGACAATGATAGTGGAAGATGCTGTAGTTTCTATTCCGTCTTGTGATTTCCAGGTTGTCAGCCCTATATATATATATATATATATATATATATATATATATATCTGAGTTATACAATGCTGATAAGCTTCGGGTTTAATTTCTTGTCAAACAATACGCTACTGAAAAGTGGCCAGTAGTCATGTAGTTTACTCTAAGGTCAAACAATTTAAATCTATTCCAAAGACTAGAGAATGGTAATCACTATTCCCTAAGCTAAAATAACATACAGCGTAAAGAAAGCCTTCACATTTTAATGTTGTGGTTTTCTTGGTGAAATTCATCTTGAAATTAAAAAGATGATGTATATATGTATGACAATTCGACTGACTGGTTTCACCGTAGAACTTTTTACAAAAGTGCAGCAGTTGAATTTGCTACACTCCATGTAGCACATAGAGGGAGACAAAAGAGATTCAGAAGGACAGTAGTAAGCAGAAATGTGAGTAAGAAAGAATAGTAACATGGAAAAACAATAGGGTTCTAATGGATATGGGAGATCATAGTGTGTGCGCCAGAACGACTGAGAACAACTTAGAGCTAATCGGTAGCTACTACCCTGACGTGGTGGTCGGGCCTGGATTTCGTAATGACCCAACAAACTACACTGGCTGGAACTAATGTTCCTGCGGCTCCTATCATGCAAGAAAAGTTGTTAGGACAGTAGTTAGGCTAAAAGCAGTCACCGGCATGGTATTGTGGTGAGAGCTGTCTGCTAGCCAAAATTGGTAGACAGCAATTCATGACAGTTTTTACGTTTTAAATCTTGGTCATGAGAAAAAAACAAGAAAAGAGACTAACTCAACAACCATTCACAGCAGACTCAGCGTGGGCGGATACGATTCGCAGATATATCACTGGACTGTCTAAGAAACGGCAACAAAGAGATTACAAAATAACCTTCAGCAGGAAAACAACTAATCAGAAGACGCTATCAATACAGGTCAAGGTCACAAATGATGGGTAGGGAGACGCGAAGGTGTGGGTAAGGAAGAGAAAAAGCAAAGCAAGGAAGGGGTTGAAAACATTATGAAGTAAATTGGTCCTTGGTTCTAAATTGGATTACCAAAGCAGGTTTAAGGTAATAACAAATAACTTTTGGACACATAAGACAGGTTTAAGTCTTTCTTCGGCTAAGGCTTCAATGAATTTAATTATGTGGCCCAACCTTGTTTTATATATGGGCTTAAAGGCATTGTTGAAATCAGCGACCCGTCTCTATAATGTGCTTCGCTATAGATGATGTTGGACATCTATTTCCGGAGTCATTTGTATCTGGCGATTTTATTTGTTGTTGCAGCCACTTTGGAATGTGTTCTGTAGCCATAACCTGCAGAGACCGACACCTTCGCATCTCCCTACCCATCATTTGTGACCTTGACCTGTATTGAAATTATTCATGCCTTCTATAAAAACTGTATGACAAGTACGTGTGTGATAAAAATGTCCGAAATGTGTTGCGCCAATACATTACACGTTTCAGATAAACTACGTCTTCTTATCGTGTTGTCGAAATCTATAAATATCTTTAATGAACTGCAATAGCATTGATCATACTTTACAAATCGATATTATTTAAAAAAACGCTAATATTGTTATTGACTACTATTTTAAAATATTCTGTGTGTAAAAACATATATATAATTGTAGAGCCTGGAAGAGGAATTTATCGAAAAGAATATTCTTTGCTCGATTATTTTGTTTCTATAAATATCTGTTGGTCCTTATCTTCTGTCATTACAGTGTAAGATGTTTACACTGTGCTTTGAGTCTGTGTACATAGCGGTACTGCGGGCGAACAGGGATGTAATAGTTCTTAATGTGTTTCCCTCAGATGGCCAGCTATGCTTTCTGTCTACTCTGGAGAGACGGGGTTAGAAAAGGTCGACTCAAAATGATTTGCATTCCGACTTACTCTACGGTGTTCCGTAACCGCTGCTAAGTTACTAATACAGAAACAACTCTAAAAACCAATTCAAACAAGCCGTGTGTAACCGGCATCAGGCAATTGTCCCCTGGGCACTGTGGTCGCCCAACACTAATTCTCTTTCTGTTTCAGGTGCCCCAAGAGAAAAGCACACAAAGCTCTTATGACAACTTAGGTCGCCTCCCATCAATATAAGATGAAACCACAAAATATTTTACTTTTTTCTCCATATTTCATGTTTGACAGTTCAGTTCAATTAATCCCATCAGTTTGTTTTTCCACTATTCCAACTGTTTTAGAAGTTAAAACCTGTCTAATTTTAAGAGATATATTTGATCTTCTGAGTGTCATTCATACATATAATAGAAGCTCAAATTATGGATTTACAGCATAAACTTTAAAGTAATACACATAGAGTATTTTGTTTATTTCAGTGTGTGTCTCCAGTTAATTGGGTTGTATTTCAATTGTTCTCTATCAGCTTCAATTTCATTTTCTCTTTCGACTTTCCTGATTCTTTCATTTTCTTCCATGATCTGTTATATGAGAAGGTAGAGACGTATCAGGAAGATATAAGTGTCAACACAACATAAAGTATGTATATCACAGAAACAAATATATTTTCTCGTGGCGATGGGGGTCACAGAAGTATATCTATTATTAATGTCAGTAAAAAGTTTAAGGATTGAGGATTAGATCAAATAAAGTATAATTATATTTCAATAGTTTACACACAATGATAAGTTTTGTTATTGATAATATTTCGAGCAAAATTACCAATAACAAAACTTATCATTGTGTGTAAACTATTGAAATATGATTATACTTTATTATATATATTAAACATGTAAAAGTTCATTTTATTTCTCCACCTCTTAATACCGTCTCATTATGCAAGTCAAATACGTGAAGTAAGATCTGAACCTGGTGCATCTTACTATGTTAGCGAAGCACATAATGCCAGTATCTCACGGAAGGTATGAATACCTTTGATATAATAATAACCAAGTAAATTGTTGACTGTAAATTAAGCTACTTATTAGTTAGCACAGAAGTACCTATTTAAAATAAACTTTTGTTGACTACACTCGACTGTGG